TCCTTATCTCCCCCCCTTGTCCTTATCTCCCCCCTTGTCCTTATCTCCCCCCTTGTCCTTATCTCCCTCCTTCTCCTTATCTCCCTCCTTCTCCTTATCTCTCCCCCTTCTCCTTATCTCTCCCCCTTGTCCTTATCTCCCCCTTATCCTCATCCCTCCCCCACCCACCACTTACGGGCTACTCCTGCCCGTACCACCATCTTGGGTGGCTTAATCTTCATATCAATCAATCAATCAGGGAACATTTACAAGTAAAATGACAAGTATTCAAGTACATGAAGAGATTCAAATGAACATATATTAAAAGTTAGACTTACACAATCATTTTAAAAATTAATAATTGAAATAAAGCATTGCGATGCGTGTATTAATAACACTGACAATATATCAAAATAACACTAATATAAACGTTCTCTCTTATACACAATCCGACATGCTTACGCACAATGACAATTAATAAAATTATAATAACTTGGAAATCAATACAAATAATAGCCAGACATTACACGGGTATTTATAATCCGAAATTGTTACTTTGTTGAACTTTTGGATCTTTTATAAAGGTGGCGGAGGCCAGGTGCGTAACACGTAGTTGCGTGGTGGGTAGCAGCTTCGTCTGGTGTTGGGGAATGATCTGTGCTAGACGTGGTGGTGGTGGTGGCAGGGGCGGCGTTGTCGTTGGTGTCAAGGTGATTGTTGTCAGCCAGGAAAACTACGGCGGAAATGGAGGAGGAAAAAAAAACCAACTACGGTGTCAGGTAGGCAGTGAGGGCAGCAGGTACGGAGTGAGGGGCAGTGAGGGCAGCAGGTACACAGTGAGGGGCAGTGAGGGCAGCAGGTACGCAGTGAGGGGCAGCAGGTACGGAGTGAAGGGCAGTGAGGGCAGCAGGTAGGCAGTGAGGGCAGCAGGTACGGAGTGAGGGACAGTGAGGGCAGCAGGTACGGAGTGAGGGGCAGTGAGGGCAGCAGGTACACAGTGAGGGGCAGTGAGGGCAGCAGGTACGCAGTGAGGGGCAGCAGGTACGGAGTGAAGGGCAGTGAGGGCAGCAGGTAGGCAGTGAGGGCAGCAGGTACGGAGTGAGGGACAGTGAGGGCAGCAGGTACGGAGTGAGGGGCAGTGAGGGCAGCAGGTACACAGTGAGGGGCAGTGAGGGCAGCAGGTACGCAGTGAGGGGCAGCAGGTACGGAGTGAAGGGCAGTGAGGGCAGCAGGTAGGCAGTGAGGGCAGCAGGTACGGAGTGAGGGGCAGTGAGGGCAGCAGGTACGGAGTGAGGGGCAGTGAGGGCAGCAGGTACGGAGTGAGGGGCAGTGAGGGCAGCAGGTACGGAGTGAGGGGCAGTGAGGGCAGCAGGTACACAGTGAGGGGCAGTGAGGGCAGCAGGTACGGAGTGAGGGGCAGTGAGGGCAGCAGGTAGGCAGTGAGGGGCAGTGAGGGCAGCAGGTACGGAGTGAGGGGCAGTGAGGGCAGCAGGTACACAGTGAGGGGCAGTGAGGGCAGCAGGTACACAGTGAGGGGCAGCAGGTACGCAGTGAGGGGCAGTGAGGGCAGCAGGTACACAGTGAGGGGTAGTGAGGGCAGCAGGTACACAGTGAGGGCAGCAGGTACACAGTGAGGGGCAGTGAGGGCAGCAGGTAGGCAGTGAGGGGCAGCAGGTACGGAGTGAAGGGCAGTGAGGGCAGCAGGTACGCAGTGAGGGGCAGTGAGGGCAACAGGTACGGAGTGAGGGGCAGTGAGGGCAACAGGTACGGAGTGAGGGGCAGCAGGTACGGAGTGAGGGGCAGCAGGTACGGAGTGAGGGGCAGCAGGTACGGAGTGAGGGGCAGTGAGGGCAGCAGGTACACAGTGAGGGGCAGTGAGGGCAGCAGGTACGGAGTGAGGGGCAGTGAGGGCAGCAGGTACACAGTGAGGGGCAGTGAGGGCAGCAGGTACGGAGTGAGGGGCAGTGAGGGCAGCAGGTACACAGTGAGGGGCAGTGAGGGCAGCAGGTACGGAGTGAGGAGGAGTGAGGGCAGCAGGTACACAGTGAGGGGCAGTGAGGGCAGCAGGTACACAGTGAGGGGCAGCAGGTACGGAGTGAAGGGCAGTGAGGGCAGCAGGTACGCAGTGAGGGGCAGTGAGGGCAACAGGTACGGAGTGAGGGGCAGTGAGGGCAGCAGGTACACAGTGAGGGCAGCAGGTACACAGTGAGGGGCAGCAGGTACGCAGTGAGGGCAGCAGGTACACAGTGAGGGGCAGCAGGTACGCAGTGAGGGCAGCAGGTACACAGTGAGGGGCAGCAGGTACGCAGTGAGGGCAACAGGTACGGAGTGAGGGGCAGTGAGGGCAACAGGTACGGAGTGAGGGGCAGTGAGGGCAGCAGGTACACAGTGAGGGCAGCAGGTACGCAGTGAGGGCAGCAGGTACACAGTGAGGGCAGCAGGTACACAGTGAGGGACAGCAGGTACGCAGTGAGGGCAGCAGGTACATAGTGAGGGGCAGCAGATACACAGTGAGGGGCAGCAGATACACAGTGAGGGGCAGCAGGTACACAGTGAGGGCAGCAGGTACACAGTGAGGGCAGCAGGTACACAGTGAGGGCAGCAGGTACACAGTGAGGGCAGCAGGTACACAGTGAGGGGCAGCAGGTAGGGCAGCAGGCAGTGAGGGCAGCAGGTACACAGTGAGGGGCAGCAGGTACGCAGTGAGGGCAGCAGGTACACAGTGAGGGGCAGCAGGTACACAGTGAGGGCAGCAGGTACACAGTGAGGGCAGCAGGTACACAGTGAGGGGCAGCAGGTACACAGTGAGGGGCAGCAGGTACACAGTGAGGGCAGCAGGTACACAGTGAGGGGCAGCAGGTACGCAGTGAGGGCAGCAGGTACACAGTGAGGGGCAGCAGGTACGCAGTGAGGGCAGCAGGTACACAGTGAGGGGCAGCAGGTAAGCAGTGAGGGCAGCAGGTACACGGTGAGGGGCAGCAGGTACGCAGTGAGGGCAGCAGGTACACAGTGAGGGGCAGCAGGTACGCAGTGAGGGCAGCAGGTACACAGTGAGGGCAGGAGGTACACAGTGAGGGCAGCAGGTACACAGTGAGGGGCAGCAGGTACACAGTGAGGGGCAGCAGGTACGCAGTGAGGGCAGCAGGTACACAGTGAGGGCCAGCAGGTACACAGTGAGGGCAGCAGGTACACAGTGAGGGCAGCAGGTACACAGTGAGGGCCAGCAGGTACGCAGTGAGGGCAGCAGGTACACAGTGAGGGGCAGCAGGTACGCAGTGAGGGCAGCAGGTACACAGTGAGGGGCAGCAGGTACACAGTGAGGGGCAGCAGGTACACAGTGAGGGCAGCAGGTACACAGTGAGGGGCAGCAGGTACACAGTGAGGGCAGCAGGTACACAGTGAGGGGCAGCAGGTACACAGTGAGGGGCAGCAGGTACACAGTGAGGGGCAGCAGGTACACAGTGAGGGGCAGCAGGTACACAGTGAGGGGCAGCAGGTACACAGTGAGGGGCAGCAGGTACACAGTGAGGGCAGCAGGCAGGGCGGTAGAGCAGCAGGCAGGTGAGGTAAGCAACAGGTTTTGTGATGACAGGAGGATGGCAGGAGACGGAGGCACACTACCACCAATAATACACTCCTCAACACACTACCACCAATAATACACTCCTCAATACACTACCACCAATAATACACTCCTCAATACACTACCACCAATAATACACTCCTCAATACACTACCACCAATAATACACTCCTCAATACACTACCACCAATAATACACTCCTCAACACACTACCACCAATAATACACTCCTCAACACACTACCACCAATAATACACTCCTCAACACACTACCACCAATAATACACTCCTCAATACACTACCACCAATAATACACTCCTCAATACACTACCACCAATAATACACTCCTCAATACACTACCACCAATAATACACTCCTCAATACACTACCACCAATAATACACTCCTCAACACACTACCACCAATAATACACTCCTCAACACACTACCACCAATAATACACTCCTCAACACACTACCACCAATAATACACTCCTCAATACACTACCACCAATAATACACTCCTCAATACACTACCACCAATAATACACTCCTCAATACACTACCACCAATAATACACTCCTCAACACACTACCACCAATAATACACTCCTCAACACACTACCACCAATAATACACTCCAACACACTACCACCAATAATACACTCCTCAATACACTACCACCAATAATACACTCCAACACACTACCACCAATAATACACTCCTCAATACACTACCACCAATAATACACTCCTCAATACACTACCACCAATAATACACTCCAACACACTACCACCAATAATACACTCCTCAATACACTACCACCAATAATACACTCCTCAATACACTACCACCAATAATACACTCCAACACACTACCACCAATAATACACTCCTCAATACACTACCACCAATAATACACTCCAACACACTACCACCAATAATACACTCCTCAATACACTACCACCAATAATTCACTCCTCAATACACTACCACCAATAATACATTCCTCAATGCACTGGAGCAATAGATCCGAACAATCGTACCCTCCTTTCTAGTCAGGTGATAATAGCCCAGTTTCAAAATATACAAAGATGTATTCGCATAGAATCTGCAACACCTGTATTGCAGACTATTGGAACGGTGCGTGCGCGAGGGTAAGAGTCAGGCATTAATATTGCAACAAGACATAACCACCGGGGATCGCTTGCTGAAATGCTTTTGATAAATGTCGCATGCTATGCACAAATTATCAACTGTAGTACCGCGCCTTATTGGGTTATACTTGTACTATATATGCTAATAAACGTTGTTAACACACCAGCAAGAAGAACTGTATATAGGAGGGACTGTTTCATTTGTGAAGTGTGAAAACTGTTGGTGCGGGAGCCAACGAGGCTTGCGCTCGTTTACAGTGTCTTTCTAAACAGTAATTGTCTTCTTCAGTGGGATATTACATATAATAAGAGAAACTTGTGTAAACGCTTAATTTATGTGGAGTGAACTAGTGGCCGTGAAGAAACTAGATATATCCCAAAATGGGCCCTGGCCGCTTATAAATAATCGATGTGAAAGAACACTTGTTAAGGATACTGCTACAAGTTGAAGAGTGTAGGAAATGGTTGAGCCAAGAGTAAGGTAGCGAGTGTTGGGCGCGGTGTGAGAGGCACCATGATGACCCACAAGATGTGGAACCGTCTACATTCACTGTACCACAAGGTGGTTAGTGGCGTGGCCACCGGCTCTGACCACCACCACCACCCTCAGGGCGCCGCCAAGCGCTCCCCAGAGGCCGTCGCCATCAAGTTGAAAGGCAGGTAATGTAACAATCCTCACCAGTCTTGGTGTTAGTCTCTTTCTTCCCTGTAGTCTTAATCCATTTTTCCTCGACGTTATATAATATATCTTCAAACAGGTCGTACTGAGTGTTATTACAATCTTCTGTTTAAAAAATGCAATTTTAAGTGAGTGTGTATTCATCAGATCTGCATGAGTATGCGTGTCAAGGTGGGGGTGATGAAGCCTTAGCACCACAAATTGTATAATAAACGCCACACTTATGAAGGGTTTCTCAAGACATACTATCACACGATGTTGTCAACTGTACCTTCAGGCTCCCTCTACTGACATTAATCCTACTTGGAAATATTACTAGGGATAAATAATTCTTGAATGTTCGTACAAGATTACCTTGATATAAGTACACCCACGTACTTCTCTCTCCTGCTTCCCTACCTTCCCACTGGCATTATCGTCGGCTGAGCGTGCAGATCACCACCAGTACATGGGGGCGGCATCAGGCCGGGCAGACAGCCACATGCTCTGGTGTAGTATCAGGCCGGGCAGGCAGTCACATGCTCCAGTGTAGTATCAGGCCGGGCAGGCAGCCACATGCTCCAGTGTAGTATCAGGCCGGGCAGGCAGCCACATGCTCCAGTGTAGTATCAGGCCGGGCAGGCAGCCACATGCTCCAGGGTAAAGCTTAAGAGACCGCAGCTTCATTGAAATTGAAATAAGTTTGAGGTAAAATAAACACAAAGTTATGAAGTAGCTCAAGCTATTCTCACCCCGTCCAGTACAACGTGTTCATACATATATAGACATATCACAAACAATAAACATATTACCGAACATCTGAGGACAGCTTCATCACTGTCGAAGGGTGTCTCCCCCAACCCACCTATCATAAATGTGCAATTCTTATATTTTACATCGTGTTTAAAATGACATTGTATCTGGATATATTTCGCCATCATTACTAATGTATTTTTTATATTTTAATCTATTCTTGATTTTTTACCATTAGTTGAATGCAGATTTTCCTTAAAATGTAATAATAATCTGATTATTAATAACCCCATTATATTTTATAATTGAGTTGATTTAGTGTTGTAGTGAAGTGAACGGTGTAGTAATGAGCGCATTGTATTGTGACTTCAGATGGTTCCACCCGAATGTGTCGGGCCTGGAGGCGGAGGTGCTGCTCAAGGAGCGAGGCATCGAGGGCTCCTTCCTGGCGCGACCCTCCAAGTCCAACCCTGGAGACTTTACCCTCTCTGTGCGGTGAGTCCTCTCTACTCCCCTCCTACAGTGGCTCGGCTCCCTGCATGGTCAGCCTGGCGTGCTCCCCTACATGTTGTGTAGTGGTACACCACGTGTAGGCACAGGTAGAGAACACGTACTGGAAACAGTGTAGTGAGGAGGTATAGCAGTTTGGCAAGGGAATAGCTTAACATGATCAAATTCGCAATTTTATTAATTTTGGTGACAGTTGCACATGACAGAAACGATGTAAACCAAAAAGTCATGTTAATAAATTAGGCTTTAGTATCCTCTGATTGCATTTTGTTTTTGTTTACTGCTGTACATATTAAGCTACATGCTTGTTTATGTGCCACACTTGACCATATGGTCGCTCCACAGGCAACTCCAACAACTTAACAGTGTGAAGGTTTAGAGGATGGTTTCTCATACAGATGGCACAGAGGCTTGTGATATGTTGGCCAATAATGTTTTGACACATTGTGGATTGATTATGAGGCCATGACCGAGAACTGTAGTGTATTCTACACTAGTAAAGTAATAGTGGAGACGCCTCGTGTGACCCAGCACGTCCTCTTCACACAGTTTGCATACACAGTGCTCTGGACTAGAAGCCGTGTTACCTGCAGCCACTGGTAACGCCAGCCCCCCTTCCTCACCCTGGCAGTTACTATGTTACTCAGGTGGATGCTTTGTGCTCACTATATACACAGTTTAGTACAGTTGATTTATTATGCACCCCATACCCATACCTAGGGCTCAGTTGGGAACATTTTTGGGCAGGTCCCCCAAGTTCACAGCTAAGGTCTATTTTAGTACAAATGATTTATTAAACACATTAATTTTGTGAGTGTGAATAACACACAGGATATGGTAGGAGACAGGGCTGGGTGGAAGTGGGGATCACTTATCAGGTATTATGGGGTAGTAGGATTTGCAGTTGATTACTACTGGTATGTGTTTGTTTATCCGTTATCCTGTACAGTATAGTGTAAATGATGATATGATAGTTCTCTTGTTATAATATCTCTCTTGTTCTCTTGTTATAATATAATATAATAGATGATAGTGATAGTTCTCTTGTTATAATATCAATGACCTTATAATATTTATGACCTTAATTAACTAAATTCATCTTCTCATAACTGAGTCCCCCTTTCATTAAGATAGTGAGAAATTGGGCAATGATAGCGTATGTAAACAATATTTACATGATCTTTTAATTTCAGCCGAAATGGTGAAGTAACTCACATTAAAATTCAAAATATGGGCGATTTTTATGACTTGTATGGAGGAGAAAAATTTGCAACATTGGCTGAGCTGGTGCAATTTTACATGGAAAATCAAGGTCAACTGCGGGAGAAGAATGGAGAGGTTATTGAGCTCAAGTTTCCTCTAAACTGTGCTGACCCCACAACTGAGAGGTTTGCTATGAGCATTTTATGTCTGCTTTGGTTTTTATTCTCAAATATGTCATGTATTTTTTATGATTATTTAAATACAGTATACTGTATAGAATATTTTATTTTACTGTACTGTCATCCAAATTTGAAAGGACTGTATCATAATTTTATAATTTTTTGTTGTTCGCTCTCGTAAACAGTTATTTGTAAGAGCATTTGTAAAAACTGGTTGTTATTTATAATGTTGTAATAACTACCTGCAACTTTAAAATGTCTGTAAATATTTGTTGACAGGTGGTTCCATGGCCATCTGTCTGGCCGAGAAGCAGAGAAGCTTATTCTGGAGAAGGGCAAGAATGGTAGTTTTTTAGTGCGAGAATCGCAAAGTAAGCCTGGAGACTATGTTTTATCTGTGCGCACTGATGACAAAGTTACACACGTTATGATCAGATGTGTGGTGAGTTTATCCTATGTAATTATCTGCTGTAATGATAAGTTAATATCATTAATTTAGAAAAAATTTAGCATGAAGTATATTAAAAGCACTTTTCTGGGAAGACTTCCTTCAGTGGCTCCATAGAATTAGCCACCTGGATACCCTCTAGCCTGAAGTACCTCACCAGGCCCTTACAAGTCATGAGTACTTACGGGACACCGACCGGCTTCACTAGGGAACCAGTTGGCCGAGCGAACAGCACGCTGGACTGTGATCCTGTGGTCCCGGGTTCGATCCCGGGCGCCGGCGAGAAACAATGGGCAGAGTTTCTTTCACCCTATGCCCCTGTTACCTAGCAGTAAATAGGTACCTGGGTGTTAGTCAGCTGTCACGGGCTGCTTCCTGGGGGTGGAGGCCTGGTCGAGGACCGGGCTGCGGGGACACTAAAGCCCCGAAATCATCTCAAGATAACCTCGAGGACCAAAATCTAGCCTTCTCAGTACAGGCAAGGTGGTATGGGATCAATATCCCCCTCATGGCAAAAGTAAAGATGACCAAAAACAAGCACGTGCATTGCAAACAAAGGTAACCCTAACACAGTGTACACGCTCATTGTCCAATTCCAATTGCTAGTTAGCAACACTCGCCCACCATCCAGTTGGTAGCCCCAGAAGCTCAGGGGCCCCAGCCAGCTGCCTCCATCAGTCATGCGCCTGATACTTAAATGAGACAAGCTCTAAAGTGCCCCGCTGCCCTTCTTGGCTTAATTTTCAGCGCTCCTTCTGGACATGTGTTTTGCAGGAACCTATGTTTATGTTCTATATTACATTTCATGTGCATGGTTTTCTCTAGCCACATTATTCTTTTAACCTAGAGTCTTGATTACCAAATCACACGTCAGAAGATGAAGAAATGACGACGTTTCGGTCTGGCTTGAAACGTCGTCGTTTTTTCATCTTCTGATGTGTGGTTTGGTCATCATATCTTCAGCCATGTTATTGTGACTCAATGTTTACTAAGCTCCATGTGGCTGGAGTTATCTTCTCTGATTTCTGCTGGCATTGCCCTTGCCTTCAGTTATGGTACACTTTCCCCTCGAGGGGCCTTACCCTGGGTAGTACAAGGCTTTGGCTCCTCTGCTCCTCCTCGTTGCAGTTGGGATAGGTGGGGGTTTTGTTTGTTTTACTATAAAGACCATCCCAACCACATACATACAGTATTTTTGGGGAGAACCCCTTGTGGTTCCCTGAAGCCATCTTCCTGAGATGGCTCCAAATGGCTCCAATAAATTCCACAGCTGACCACATCAGCTGGGGAGTTCTGCTTAGCCTAGAGTTCCATGTGTGTCTCCCAGCTCTCCAAGCTTGTTCTGCCACTCATGCAGACACAATTTGTTCTCCACTGGGGGTTTGTCCATTGGAGGTTTGTGCACTTGTTTTATATGGCAAGCTGAGGGCGATCTTTACAATTGCATTAACAAGGCTATGTTGGTCTACTTTTATAATTCCTGGTAAGCATCTCAAATGCCTGCATGTCCTGTTTGGTCAGTCCTTTGGGCCCTAGAAACCATGCGGGTTTTGGAGAGGGATAGCTGCTTCCATTTCAGGCATGGAGACAGTTGAGCTGCCTAGACCTGCTGAGGTTTTGCAGTTTCCTTTTTTCAAACCAATCCCTTCTTCCAAAATATCTCTTCCAGACTCCGCTTTTCTGTTCCCCTGGCAGTGGGTGTGAACTCCGGATCAGCCCCAGAGCCTTCGTGTTTGGCTTCCAGAGCTTCAAGGAAATCCAATCGGGGCCATTGGATTCCCTTGGACCCTACTTGATCCTTCGTCCCTACTGACAAGGGCCTTTTACTTCAAGGGGAGGGGGGTTTTCTTACCCTCTCCCTGTATGATTTTGATCTTTCTGCAGCTCCACCCACCCAGGGTTTGTTTCTGTACTCATCTAATTGTACTCGCCTAATTGTGCACTGTAGCACTAACTGTACATACTTGCCTAATCTGTGTACGCACTGTATAGTCTGTTGGATTCGTCCTTCCAGAGGCTTCCTTCCTCTCGGGTCCCCCACCCCTTTTCGGTGGCTCAGGTGGATTTCTTTATTAAATACGTCCTGCATTACCCTGAGTTTACCTCTTTGATGGACCCTTCATCTTCTTTCTAGAGGATGTTGTGCAGTTTCTGTAGGGAGCCCCTTCGGCTCCTCTGGAGCTACAGGGGTACCTCAGTTTTCATAGATAATCCGTTCCCAAAGACGGTACGAAAACCAAAAAATACGAAAACTGAAACAAATTTTTCCATAAGAAATAATGTAAATTGAATTGATCTTTTCCACACCCCCAAATATATTAGCTAAAAAATACATTTTATTCAGAATAATACTCTTAGGTACCTTACCTTTATTGAGGACTCTTGCAGAAGACAGTGAGAAAGGGGGAAGGAGGAGAGGTGTTAGTGTTTGGAAGGGGAGTCCCCCTTCAATTATAACAGCAGTGATGACATTTCTGGTATACTCTCTCTCTTACATTTTGCAGGCATACCACTAGGTATGATGGGAGCCGGTCGGCCGAGCGGACAGCACGCTAGACTTGTGATCCTGTGGTCCTGGGTTCGATACCAGGTGCCGGCGAGAAACAATGGGCAGAGTTTCTTTCACCCTATGCCCCTGTTACCTAGCAGTAAATAGGTACCTGGGAGTTAGTCAGCTGTCACGGGCTGCTTCCTGGGGGTGGAGGCCTGGTCGAGGACCGGGCCGCGGGGACACTAAAAAGCCCCGAAATCATCTCAAGATGACCTCAAGATAACCTAGGACCTGGTTGTGGCTCACTGCTTGCTTGTCTTATTAAGAATCTGTCTGCAGACACTTGTTTTTCCTATGTTTTAACACTTGTCTGTAGTGAGACATCACATTGCCTCACTATGAATGATCTCTTGTTTTTTCCTCTATTGTCTCCCTCACAACTATTTTCTTAGATTGAACATTACCACTGACTCTCTTGGAACCCATGGATGATATATAATAAGAACTTTTATGTTCAGAAACCAAAAAAGCACAAAAACTATCGGGCTAATGTGTGATATAATAGACCAGGGAATTAGTATAAGGAGTTCGACCTACCAGGGACCACGAGCCAGAACCTGGCCCCCTCAGAGAGGTTGCAGGGAGCAATGGCCCTAGAAAACCTCCCCTGTGGGTTTTTTTTCCTTATCTGCCATCGACCGGGGTTAGGCACCCAGAAAGGTAGGCATAACAAAACAAACCCCACATGGTAAGAAAAGTACAATGAAAAAAAAAAAAAAAGGTAGAACTCCCTCCAATCCCAAGGAAACAAGCAAACGTCACACCCCACTGCCGTGCTGCTCGTCTGCACAGCCCTCCTCTCCCCTCCCCAAGAATGGGGGAGGAGGGAGCCCCAGACCTCCCTGCACCTGCTACCATCACTCCAGTTCGTTAGCTAATGTGGTCCAGGGCGGACATCTTCTCTGGCCTCGATTTAAATAGGCAGTGTTTTGCCTTCGTGGCGACCTCTGCAGTGATGTTGTGTGTGGTGGCCAGGTGTCCTCATCAGTACCGGGGCTGCATGTGCTTAGGGGCATCCTTCCCTAGGCACCCTGTGAGTACTGCCCTTGAGAGTTAGGGGTTCCCTTCCCTGGTGTGTTCGGGAAGCCATTTCCATGGGTTTTTTGCTGCTCGGCATTTACCCTGCCCTTGGGGTCAGCTGGGGTTTCGTGGCCCTTGTTTAGTCTTGGGTAGGGAGTAGAATTGTGCTGCTTACGGCATCAAGGTGTTGTGCAACCTGCCTACCTATGTGGTGGTCGGTTCCTGTTAACTCTGGGATGTTGTATTTTTGCGGGGTTTTTCTTTTGTTTTTTGTTTTCTTGCCTGGTGGGGGTCTGCCTGGTGTGGCTATAGTTCCACTTATATTATTTTGGTGGCCCTCTGCTCGGCCCCTGTGATTGTACATGTTGCAGGGGTTTCAGTGTTTTGATCTCCCCCTTGTTAGCTTTGGGTCTTAACTGGTTAGCAACACCTTGCCTGGGCTTCCTGTAGCAGTCAGCTAACAGGCCCTGGAAAGCCCTGTCAGGGCTCGGTGGACCTATGGATGTGTCTTCTGAGCTACAGCCCGCCTCGTGCGGGTTTGAAGGTTGCTGTGTGCCCTTGTCTCAGGGTGAATGTGGATGGAAGCATTCTATGTTTGCCATCTACCAGGTTAGGCACCCAGAAAGGTAGGCGTCCCAAAACAAACTACAGCTGGTTAAAAATTGTGACTGAAAGCTGAACTAGCAAGCAGAACTCCCCAAACTGAAAACAAGCAAACAAGCATGACGTCACCATCACCACTATGCCGCTGTCTGCGCAGCTACCCCCGTCCCCAGGAGGGGGAATGGGGGGAGCCCCAGATCCCCCACGCCAGCTATCCAACCCCAGTTCTGTGGTTGATGTGTTGAGTGGCAGTCATTCGACTCTGGCTTCGATCCTTGAACAGTGCTGTGCCTTGTGGTGTTGTGTTGCGGTGTGATGGTGTACGAGCCAGGTTTAATTCAAGTAGTACTGGGGCTACATGCTCCTAGGGTCACTTTCCCTCGGTGCCCTGTAAGTACTGCCCTTGCGGTTTGGGGTTATCTTCCACAAACTGTTTGGGAACTACCTCTGCATTCCCGCTTAAAGAAGTTTGGGAGGCTATTGCTTCGTACCTCCTGCGAGTCCCAGAGTTTTCCTCGATAAGGATCCTTCTTCATTTGAATTTGGTTCCTCTTTTTCCTTACTGGGTGTGTTATGAGGTGCCAGAATCTTCCTGGTTGGCAGACTGCCCTTTCTTTTCATTGGAGGCATAGCATGCGTTCTGTCGGACCCACATACTTTAGTGGCGGGAAACTACTACAGTGGTTCAGGTTAACCTGCGGGGCGAGTTTGAGCGCCTCAATTCATGCTTGTTTGCCCCTGTTATTCCTCAAAATATCAGCCAGGTACAGCTTCACGTGCAGGTTCCCACCCTTTCGGCATCCTTGGTGGCTGAGGACTT